TACCACGTGGTTCATGACACAGCCTGAGCCATGTCGGCGACCGGTTCGCGAGGGGTTGGCGGTGGGGTTACGTTGATGGTCACTCGGATTAGCCCTTGCTGTACTGAGCTACCGCCTACAGTGCCTTATCGCCGGCTGGTGTCAACAACGAGAACACACACACCCTGTCTACACCAAAACTACAAGCGTTCACCGCACACGCGTCGCCGCCGCTTTTAAGCTTTTGTGAAATTGCTTTCTTTTGCCGCGGAGAACCGCCTTGTCTTAACTACGCGCCTGAAATCCTTCCAGGCGGGCGTACACAATATCAAGCGTTTCGAGAAATGCCCGTGGAGTAGAACTATGGGAAAATTCGGAGCCACGATGTCGATATCGTCGCCGTTGTGTTAGTACGCCGTCGCGTACTGCAGTCCCCCGTTGGGGGAGGGGGGAGGGCGGTCTTACTACGATAACATGGCGACAGCGTTTACACTCTATGTATTTACGCGAGGCTCGAGTATTTGGGGATAATGCTGCCGGTTGGTGTGCCCCTTTGTGCCTGATATTATCGCCCGTGACGCCAGCGAGTGAGATGGCGACAGGCATGACTGCTCAGTAAACAGGCGTCGGCGGCCATGTTTTGCTGGTTGAAGCGAACCCCCTTGTCCTTGACAGCGAGCGGGGAAATGCGAAAAAAAGATTGTATCGGCCGTTTTGCCAGAACTAGCGACGAGTGTCGTCTGCGGTTTCCGGCAACTATTTTGCCATAATCGTGAGCTTAGCGAGGAAATGATTTTTGCTAGCCACAGAACACTACCACGCAGAAAGGGAATGCTTGAACATGTTTTTGTTCTGGATATATATCAGGGATATATATGAGAGAGAGAGAGAGAGAGATGAAGGTAGAGCGGAAGAGGGAATAGCATATAGTGTCGCAGGAGAATAAAGTAAACAAAGTTCCTAGTGGCCGATGGCTGCATGATCTTTCCTCGGATCACTAGTCCGTAATATGATACCTCTTTGTACACAGTAGTTTCTCCTTAATTTAAGTGTGTGAACGATTTATTTAGTTATCATTGGCCTCATCTGAATAAAAATATATAAAAGATGTGTGTTGGTTTCATGAAACTGGAACTCAGAGTCAGTTCTTGTATAAAACACTGCTAAGTGTAGGCTTTGAAAAAGGACCCTACTTTGGGGAGTTGTATCTTCTTTCTCAATAAAATGATGCAACATGTTTTAATGGAAATGAATGCCGAAATAGAGTATAACAGGTTACCTAAATTTACAAAAAATCAAGGGTGGTGTTTTTTTTTTATTCGCATCGGAATTTTTCTTTGTTTGATTTTGTTTTCATGTTTGACTAAATATATCCTAACTATTGTATCACACAGATACCTTAGTTATTTTTTTAAATATTAGCTATATATTAGTAGAATAATATCTGCAAATTATATCATAAGGATTAAATTATTTCATGAGATACAGACCTCCAAAGTTTGCCATTTGCCGTTCGAGCAGGCATGTTTGTCAATTTTTAGAAAAATAAATAAATTTTAAATAAATATGATTACTTTATATTACAAGCAAGCTGTACCCATAGTTTGCGCCTAAAACGTATTAGAGTTCTCCTAATGTTATCGCTTTAGTTATTCACTCTCAAACGGGCCCCCTCCATCAGTGCGCGTTAATGCAACTGTCCACCACCTCATGCCTTACGATTTTTCCTGTCCCCAAGTACTTTTTCTAGTCAAAACTAAGTTTGGATTCTTTCATCCCAGACACTAGACAATAACATATAAAAACATCAGTTGATTTGAAAATGTCGACTAGCCATCCTTTGGTCGATCTTATCTGAAATCACCCTAATATATTTGTTTAACCTAACTTTGAGGAACCCTTCCTTGTTTCGAGCGTTCTTCTATAAGTGGCATGGAGGAATGATCTCGGCTGGAGTTACAGCTTGCTTTGGTTTTTGGCCTTCCTGTAGTATTAGGCCAGATATGCTCTGACGGCATGCCGGGAGATCCCGGTGTCACGGCGTGGAAGGACGGCTCAAGCATCAAGCCTCCTTGCAAAACTGGCCGTCGACAAAACTTGAAACAATTGGATGTGCTGTTGACTTTGTTTGGATAGTCGCCACTAAAGTGAATGGAAAAATTCTTCCGAGCAGTTATCTTCAGCAAGTCTTGCCGAGACGCCGACTGTACCAAGATGCAAAAAAAAAAAAAGAAGGAATGAAATGCTCTTATTCCTGTTAGAAAAATTCCGTACACCACTTTTGCACAAATATTGAAGCTAAAGGACTTGCTAAGCCTTAAGAGTGCACCTATAACCCGCGTGAACATCGTTGTGTGTAAGTAATACACGGTCTTCTGAACTTGCATTACAAGATATCTTACGCAATTGTGTAAGTGCAACGCCATCACTCGGTAGCTAAAATATTGACATATTTCAGACTACTTAAAGCAAACTTGGTTAGTGCCACAGCTGGAATATATTTCCCACATGGGGTTGTGTCCGGAGATAAAAAACTTAACCGGTAATTACAGAAATAACAATAAAGCGAGGAAACGGACCATGTCATGCCGGCGTCAAGTATGTGGGACACACTACTTCACAGCGGTGTATTTGAGCTTTGTTTTGTTTTTCCAAGAAGAAAACACAAAGACAGAGAAGCTTTAAACGAGCCCGGCTTCTGGTAGGCCTGTGCGCGCGCAAAAGCGGCAGTTGGAAAAAGACGAAATTTTGTGCTAAGAGTGTTGGTGTATTAGTCACTTTCCCCAACCCAAGTGCCTCAGACTAGACTTACCGAGGAAAATATTTGGAAGCTTTTCATTTTCATTAGGCAATCTGAAAAAAAAGACTATTTTTTTTCCTTCATAGCGATATTTTTCAGCAAAACACGTACGACGTGTATACGAAATCCTTCATATGTAGTACGAAACATGCCTAATTATTTTATTAGCCAAAACCAACAAGCGCTGTGAGTAAGTGTAAACAAATAAATAACAATCAGACATAAAATGAGGGTGACCAGGATTTGCTTTGAGGAATAGTACTTGAAAATAGTCAGGGTGTTGATTCTGAATAGAAAGGGCTTAAAAAAGGAGCGAGTTGGACGAGTGCAACATTCATCGTGTATTTATTAGGCTCGGTTGATAATATATGAAGGTATAATCATTCTAAGCTGACTAAATAGGTAATATTTTAATAAACTTTTCAATGATTGTTTTTGTCGAGGGCCGATGTTTAAATAGCGGTATTCAAGGAAAATACTATTAGAGACCAGACCATCTGAAGGATTTCCGAAAATTTGATATTTTTTTTAGTTATTAGTATTTAGGTCCGGTATTTTTTTCACCATTTCCTAATTTCGTGCAAAAGGAGCGCATCACGCCCTGCCCACAATGATGCATGAAAGCGTGACGCAGCTGTTTAGGCCATATTGTCATTTGTGTCGTCGGCGCACCCACTAAGGACACGCTGCCGACATCGTCACCACATAATATAAACGACTACGTGATTCTTCCTAGCCTCGTGGCGGGCAGGTCATGCGACTAAGTGCTAGTTTTACACAACGCGAAAACGTTGAAATGTAGCGATTAATACCTCGTAAACCATCACACTTTTTCGCATGTGTATTTTTAATTATTTGACTCCTATAGTAATTGCGGTCAATACCGCGATTTCGACAAAAGTCCTAAAACAATTATTGAGAAATTATTGCAAATAATCATGTTAGTTAGTCAGCTTAGAGTGACGATTATCGTCCCGCTTTACGTCCGCCAAGCCTGAAAAATGCACAGTGAAGACGGAACTCGCCTCAATCTCACAACTCATGAAAAGCAAAATATCGTTGAAGTTAATGTAAACTAAACCCGGTGTAGTATCTTCAGAGGTACGTATTTATATGTCTAACCTATATATTACTTCTGATTTCTTTTTATACGTCAGAACATACTCAGGGCCCGTCAGAGAGAAAAACATGTTGAGAATGCCTTATTTTACATAATTGATCTCGAAAGCGTTCTTATGGCTTTTTGTCATATTCAAAAGTATGTTTAATCAAGACCACTTTGATAAGAAATAACAACATTGTGCTCTTGGCTAGGTATTTTCATAAACTTTCATTTAATAGATACATTTTGCACCATCAATATTAATAGTAACAAAATCTCTCAAAAAATATAGTTGAATTATCATCAAAGGGGCAGGGTTCTTGATTTTTTTCAATATAAATAAAACGTAGGGACATATTTTAGGACCGTTAGACTCTTCCACTGCAGTTGTAAAAGTATGAATATGTTTCGTTTTTGTGCAAAGGGTACCTAAACCAAAACGAATACGGGCATGATCATGGCGGAGCACACACAAGAAAACGACGTTCGCCGATCACCGAAATTTCCGAATCCACTATTGTAACTTTGAAGGCAAACAATTAAGAACTAAAAGAATAATAAAAAAACTCGCTTTTGTTTCGTCGTAGTAAAGGATTTCCCTGTACATATATTGTTGGAAGAATTTAAAACATGACCCGATTTGTCTAAACGATTCAAAATAAAATCACCCATATAGTCTTTAAAGCATACTTCAGTCGAGTGATAAACAATAACAAGGAGAGAATCTTTAGCGCGAATAATTTATTTGTTCTAAATATACGCATTCCCATTTTGCGTTGTGGAATGAGTAGTTGAATGGTGTTAGAGGAGGTCACGATCTCTATTTATCGACTGTTTTTCGAAATAGCAGGAGGTTTTCTAACAACTTAACATACTTCTTGCGTTGAAGTATGTGTTGGTGAGCAATGGTCATGCAATAATTGGAAAATAAATAACAATTTCAGTATTACTCACAGGTGAAGAATATAAAAATAAACGACTACTTTCAGAGCTGAAATTGCAACCCAAACAAGCTAAAATAAAGGAAATAGTAGTTAAGCCAGAGAAACTTTATTCGAGTAGATGTACACTTTAAACACCCAATTCCCTTCAGAATAACTCAGTCTTATAATGCTTCAGGTGAAGGTTGTGGACACCGAAGGCAGGATTGTTCCCGTGAACACTAGAGGGGAACTGTGCACCCGAGGTCCCCATGTATTCAAGGGGTACCTCAACGACGACGCCAAGACAAAGGAAGCCCTCCGAGAGAACTGGTACCACACGGGGTAAGGACCACGTCGGTAGCAGTGCAAACGGCTTTGATGAAACCTTAAGCGCTACATTACATGAAAATACAAAAACAATGGTCGTCGTGTGGAACCCGGAGATTGACTCCCAAAGGCAAATATACGAACCGACAAAGCCAATAACCGGATAGAAAACACACTTTTTTTCCTGAACCAGGATCTCAACGAAAGTGCGAGTGTCTGAAGAATCGGCAAGGCTTTAGTAATATAATCTGATCAATGTTGTTTGACAAATTAATAAAACAACCACAAAACCATAATAACACTCTGGGAAACAAACTAGCAATAGATAGCAAATAAAATTTTAGGGAGCACTTGTCACTTAAGTTCAAGTATTTATTCATAACAACATGAAACGATACACCACTCGTTTGCCCGAACTAAGGACTCTACTAATATTTACAATTAATGCCTACCATAATGAAAATCCTACAGTCTAGACTAGATTTCAATGGAATTGAAGCTGAGCGGGCGGTAAGTATTACATTTCTTCGGATCTTATCTGAATATTTCCTTGTATTACAGTGAATCATTACATAAATAATAAATCGACATTAAGCTCGGCTTTCTCGATGATATTATGGCTCGCGCTCGTTAAGGCTATAAGCGCTGGAATAAACATTCTGGTGCGCCGTCTCGCGCTCGTTCCAGGCAACGTGTTCACTGAATCAACAAATATCTCGTCTTTGTACAGAAATGCTAAGTTTGGAAGACAACATAGTAACATGAAGTTTTCCAGATTATTCTGTAATTTAAATTATTTTTATCGAACCGCTTCTTAATAATCAATATCCAAGAATAGCTTAATTTCCAATGCTTTACTAGTACACTAAATTAGTTGAGAATTCACTAATTTCTTCGAAAATTGATATTTCGCAGTCCCTTTGCTATGTATGTACGGCAAAATACCGTAGGGCGCCTTTTTCACTTTCACTGAAAGCTGGGGAAATCTAGACATGGGCGCTTGTCCGGCCAAATCGGGCGGTTAAGATATAATGTTCAAAATTCTAAAGTTTGGGAATTGTTAGTAATGTGTGCTCGAACGTGGTGGGCGCTTCCACGTTAATTTACGGTATATCTAGTTGAATTTAAATATTCACACTAAAATAAAAATATGTTATTCGTTATTAAATTGCTTAAAGAAAAACACACTTTCTCATTTATATTTTTCTTCTAACTCGTGTTTTTTAGTTCTCAAAGTTTTATGATTTAGTTTTTTCCGACCACTTATTTAAAAAAAATTTTCCCAGCCCAATTCCTTCTTGGATTTACGTTCTACAATCTAGTGTTTCCTCTATTCGTACACCGCTCTTACCTACTTTGGGCTGTTTATTCTGGCGATATTTGTCTGGTAGACCTACGGACAAGTGGAAGGGACGAAGCTATTTTTTGTTGTCTCCAAAGAACTAGAGATTGAAATTGCCCTTTCTTTTGCATAACCTCAGCAACAGACGTTAAACGGACACCTGTAACTGCTATAAGTTATGCTAGATAATAATACATTTTTATGTGGCTGGATAGGATTCGTTCATAACAAAAAAAAACAATTTCCATTAAAATTTTAGCGGTAGATTTTGGTAACGAAAATCATCTGAGCTATTCGGAAACGTGTTGTATTTCTGGACCGGCGCCCTGAAATCGAAAAGTATTTGGAAATGCGCCTAACTGAAAATTAGATTCCCGAAGAAAATATAGCGCTATTTTTGTTTTGTCTAATGCTCATTTTGTGATATGAACTAATGAGTACTCTCTCGAGGCCCTTAAAGAATGATGTTATTGTGGAAATTCTTTGTCCTAAGGGCGATTGCAAAAACACAACTGAAATAAGCACACTAAGAGACGCGATTTGTTAGTCAGCGTTGTTTTTCCTATGTGTCCTCTCCTTTTGTCCTTAGTTGCGCGCTGTTGCTGCTACGATGACCTCTTATTACCAACTCACCTAACTTCATATATACATATATATAAAGGGATGGGCAGTATTTCAAATACAAGTATTTGAAATACGTATTTCAAATACTTTGTGTATTTTGCATTTGTATTTAATTACAAATTGGGCAATGTATTTGACGTGTGTATTTAAATACTAAAACATGGGTATTTCAAATACAATTGTAATTAAATACAATTTTGTGGGCGAAAATACATCTTGTTTTTATGGATGTGGTTGTAAGATAGTCTCCATTTTTTATTCGGCCATGGAGCTTTTTTCCTTTTCTTCTCCGGCTTTATTTTAAAGGCACTCTCCAGAGCAGGAAGAAAACTACGTTCTGCACCGAATGCAGTGTCTTTCAATCAAGCACAAGCTTTTAGTGACTTTGTCATTACGGTGCTAGTCTAGGGCAAGAATAGTGACGAAACCGACGTTCACAGGCAGACTGGCTAAATAAGTGCCTGTGACAACTTGTGATGCTTTCCAGCTAGATTTCCATCCATATTTTTGCCTGGAACATTCTAAATGCGCGGGTCGTCCAGATTTTCGTAACTGGTGCGAGTTGCAACAATAAAAAATTATCTAGCTAGTGCTGCGCGTCTTGGTCGTCTCGGTTCTTTGTTGGTCTATACCAAAATGTAATCAACAAAAAAAAGCTGCTTGAAGCTCTGTACTTTTTTCACGTATTACGTCCAAGCTGATTACATCTTTTTTGTGATTATATTTCTATTACGTTACTAGAGCCTGGCACACTAACTCCCGAGTGTGCAATGCAAAATTAAAATGAGATACCCAGAAACCCGTTGCACGTGCCCTGAAGTCGCTGACGCAAAGTTTGAGGAATGTATTTGGAAAAGTATTTCGAAGAGACCAAATACATTTGGTTGTATTTGTATCATGTACTTCAATGCTTTTTTGGAAATGTAATTAAATTTGTAATTAAATACATTTTGACGAAGTATTTTGTATTTGTATTTCGATACATATTTGCATGTATTTTGCCCATCCCTGTATATACATATATATATATATATGAAGTTAGGTGGGGTTGGTAATAAGAGCTATCTTAGCAGCAACAGCACGCAACTAAGGACAAAAGGAGAGAAGAGGACACAGGAAAAACAACGCTGACTAACAACTCGCGTCTCTTATTCTGCTTATTTCAGAAGTGTCGCTTCTGAAATAAGCAGAATGCAAGTCCATAATTAAAGTCAAGAATTCAGCGCTCAACACATTGACTTGTTCAGCAAGTCTTATACTTCTTTGGCGGATAAAGAAAGAAAAGTGGCGCTCGCACACTTGTCAATGAGTCGCACTATCGTCCAAAGCCCCAATAATTTCTTTAGTGAGGGGTTGGCCACCCCACGGCAATACAGTGCATTTTCTGAACCGGGCATAACAAGTTCACAACCACAGCTTGGTACAGCAAAATCGTTAATGGCCAGAAACAATCTTGTTCAAATTATTATGATGCTCTCGCAGCTGATCATTGACAAATGTGACTATTTGTCCGACATACCTTTCGCCACGTGAGAGTGATATGGAATATACCTTTCCTTCTGTACACTGAATACGAAGACTTCTTAGACTGACAGCGTTGTAAACTATATTATAAAAACTGCCTATTTTGTTTGGTAATGAAAGATCCATACTTATGTTTACCGGGTATGCTATATATCTTTGAGCAATGGGATATCCTGTGTAGAGAGGGCACCTCTGCCGATCTACACATAATAAAGAAGAAAAATGGTGTGAGTTTTCATTGCTGGTATCACCATTTTTTTTTGTCAGTTCTTTTTCCATTGGCAGAAATACATTGCGTGCTTTTTATGCACTGAAGGACTTAACGAATGGAATTCGTTCGGCAGCACAATTTAGTTCAGCTTTGTGCATCACAGCAAAGCCCGTGTCATCTACTAGCAACGCAGTTCATGTAACCGGTGGCGTACATTTGCCCGTTAAAGTGCAACAACTCCTCCCCTATGGTCCTCAGTTCGCAGCTTAGTCTAGGAAGTCAGCACCTGAGCTGCTGTCACGTGGGGGATAAGTGTCGCAATGGGCGCCCGAGGCTGGTTATAACCGCTGCACCTCTGAAGACGATGCTATTAACGCGATTGCGTTTAGGAGCTCTGTCGCAGAAAATCTGTCGTAGGCGTTGAGGTCCACGTAGGCGTCGATGGAACCGAAAAATCTCACAATGCATTGCGCGCAGCCACGTGTGACGTAACACGTGGCTGCGCGTGTTGCGGTATAAGGTTTACCCTCTAAATTTGGCGGAAATAATTTCCCGACAAATTTAAAGAAAATGTTTCCGGAAGATTTGGTGGAACATTTTTTCAACAAATTCAGCTGGTAAATTGCATAATTCAACGCACGCTGCCAAGTGTGACGTCACATGTGACATCACACGTGGCTGTGCGCCTTGCATTATGGGACCACACACACACAAGTATGCACGGCTTGGACGCGAGCACACGTATATCTGAGGCTTTGCGGGCGGGACCCGATAACGCTGTCGTATTCCACTCTTAAAGGCGGAGCTTAGCGTCCTCAAGTTTTTATTTACTGTGTCAGCCATCGGATTCACACCTTCCTGTCAAACAAAGTGAGTCGTACTTGGAGGAACAGTCCTTATTTCTTCTACAAGCTCACAAAAGAGATGGGCTTGAGTTAACGTCGCCCGATACGCTCGTTACCAACGCCCTTGCAGCAATTGACTCGGTCTTCCAACACCGCAATAGCTTTTTTCTTATCGAAGGTAAAATGTAAGGAGAAGAAACCTTGCCTCTCATTGGTGCTGAAAGGAATAGTGTGCCTTCAAGTTCAAGAAAACAAATTTCAGTTTGTAACTTTTCTTCCATAAAAAAAATACACAAACAAAATTGTCCTTGAAAAGGCATCGTTTAAGAAGGGAGGACTTAGAAAAATGCTCTGGCCTTTCACTTACAAGCTCATTTTTTTGACAGCGGACGATCCATTCTTACTAAAGGACTGATATTATTGCACCAGCTTTCTCAGACAACACAGTGACAGCGTACTCTGCTGATCTCAAAGACTTTTATTAATAAATTAAATTCCTTAAGAAGCACTTTTAACATGTGTGGAAAATTGGATTGACACATTTTGAGCTGCTGCGTTTTAGAATGCTTCAGGCGTGTCTCAGGGTACTTCCCCTGAGTTACTCACGGTTGATCTTCGATCTACTTTTGCAGAATGGGATGGAAATATCCTCCTGCAAAGGAACGGGGTTTTTATTTGGTTGCACATTGTCCCGGTTCTCAGTGACATACACCTTGACCACCTTAATATGATAATTTCAGGTCGCCTAGTCAGTTCAGTAGTTTAAACTTTTTCCCGTCGTTGAGAATTCTTTATTTTTCTCAAATATGTAGAGAATAATGACTCTTTATCATTTTGTTTTCATAGTTATAATTTTACCTCATCTCAACCTACGATAAACTGAAGGCGAAAGCAACGGGCTGCCATGTCCAAGCACAAACCAGTTAGAAACCACGTGTTATTTCGGCGTGCGTATCTGGGAGACTCGCGCATTGCTACGCATGTCGGAGCAATACACCACATGGTTTCTAACTCGCTCGTGATTGGACCTAGCAGCCTGTAGGTTTGGTCTTCAGTTCATCGTAGGGTGAGACAAGGCATAGCTTCAGAACATGTTTGCATCCGTTGTAGAAATATCATAAGCATCCGAACAAAGGATAAATCAGATTTTTAAACCTAACAATTCCTTTGCAAGAACATTATGTATTTTCGTCACAAGAACCAAGAGTCAAAAAACACCCCTTAATGATCGGCGCAATCAAATTTAGAAAAATTAAGCATAGTTAATCTATGCCTAGTCAATACTCTGGGTAAATCCTGCCCACATTTGTTCAAAGTGAGCTTCTATGCGTAGCTCTGAACGCTCAGTTAGCAGGATATCCGTTTTAACTTTTATTATCACTATTCTAAATGATGTTGGCGAAAGTAATATATGATAATAAAGCAAAACCGTTGAGAGACAAAAAAGAAATACCGGTGGTGGTGCCCTATATGCAAAAAAAATGCATATCCTAAAAAAACGATAGCAAACCGATTTAACATAAATGTGTTTTCTTCCACACTAAACACATTGATAATTTTATGTAAAGAATATACAACGCAGTCATTGCTAGACAAAGCGGCACAAAAACACAAAAATTCCTTTGTTCAGTATACAGGAGTGGTATATTCTACAAAACACACGTGTGGCAATCGGTTTATATGTCAGATAACCAGGCAGATGTTACAATCATCGGCTGCCCGAGCATTTTAAAAACACAAACGCGACTGTCTCTGCTTATCTAGGAACTCAGTGCGGAGACTGTGGTTGTGATCCTTTTTTCACAAAAGGCACTACATTGTGGAGGAATGGCGACCATTTAAAAAGATAAATAATTAAGACTGAGAAGGTGTGCGACTTGATGACAAATGTGTCATCGCCTCTTTTGTTTCTTTATCCGCCAAAATATTATAATATTTGGTGAAGTAGTCAATGTGATGAGCGCAAATTTATCAGGCATTTCGATATCGGTTTCTTTGCGATGTCGTCCTGCTTCTCACAACAAAGTAAAAGAAACGTGATTTGGTAGTCAGCACTGTGTTTTTACTTTTGTGTAATCTCCTTTATTTCTTGCTTGTGAAGCGCCCTTGATGCTAATATATTTGGAAACACACGTAACTCGAAATGTGTCTGGCGAAGTGTATTTGGCGCAGCTAGACTTGCGCCAAAAAACAACAATTTTTTTCGTTACCAGGTGATTTTGTGGAACAAGTTTCCCCTCTCTTAGCTTAAAAAAAAAGAAAAAAAAAACTTGTTTTGGGTGTTCGGTATTCCGAAGGTCTTTCGACCTACCAAAACTAAACGCATTTTGGAATACCTAGTCTTTACTCTATCCAGCATGCTATTCCCCATTTCTAAATTTAAGATAGCTATTGATAAATCAACGAATGCATGTGATTTAAAAACAAACATTCAATTTTTCCTCCCCTGCTCATCGGGGTAGTGTCACATGTAGTATAGCATGCAAATGGAGCAGGCAGTCTAAAAAAAGGCAATGTTCCGCATTTTCGTTTTTTGTTTTTCTGGCGTGAGTTTAGTTGCAACCCTCATTTCACAACAAGAAACTTCTTGTATCCCGTCGGTATACAAGAAGTTTGTATCCGGTCGGGATATACCCGTATTACAACATCTGACGCCATGTTTCAGTGTTGTCACTAGAAACCCTCAACCTCTCACACCAAATTTTAAACTATAAACCTTCGCGAAACAAAAAAAAAATGTTGTTGTGACTTGAAATTTGGTTACTAATTCAAATGATTGTGTGTGTATCTTAAACTAATTTTGAAGCAAATTAGTTTCGATAAAAATGTTCGTTGAAGCTCTCCTTTAAAGATATTTAAAAGCGGCATTGCACTTTAGAAGTTTGCTTTGTGTTATATTGATAAATCTTGTTAAATAATCCGAATCACCTGTCAGGCCATTGTATCACGACTTGAGGAAAGATTAAATGTAATCAAATTTGAGTGCAGCTTTGAAAAATGTTTACCCTCTCTGGTCAACCGTTCACAGGGACGAGGCGACCATGAGCGAGGACGGTCGAATCACATTTTCGGGCCGCATCAAGGAGATGATTAGCATTGGCACTTTTAGGGTGCCGCCACTGGAGGTTGAGAGTGTCCTCAACACACACCCCGATGTGGAGGAGGCGCAGGTATGTTTCCTAAAGCGCGGCAGACGGTGTGAGACGCGCATCTGTGGAGCTGCTTCTTGCAACGCTGTGCTTTAAGACACCGGGGCATCAACCTGAGCGCCTTTATTCGAAGAAAGCCCGTAACATCTTAGTACTATACCAAGAACAGTTGACGAGTAACAGTTTTCAAGCCATTTCTCCATTTTATAGTAATGTTTAAAAAAATGCACTAGCAGGCTGAGCTCACTTCATCGAAGGGACCCGGTCACGTAATGTGCTTTGTGGCGATGATGTTGAAAAAAGAAAAACAGAGACATGGTAGCGGAAACGTTAGGAACCAATATTCAGCATAGGCTTTTGTTTAGAGCTTCCGTTAATGTGCGCGTTTATCGGCGGACAATTTTATTGGGTGAAAGGGACAGGTCGATGTCGCCGTCCACCTTTCTCCTTGTAACCCAACTCCTCCAGCTTAACCCATTCTCCCCACTTGACTGCTCTCCTTTTAGCACAGTCAAATCAAAGTTGCCTCCCTAATTTACTACCAACAATCATCGAGATTTTCACACATATTCGCTGCTCTGACCGGTTCGCTATATAAACAAAGAAAGTTCAAAATCAACGCGATATTTTGGCTGGGTGTGTGTACAATCCTCGGACTCGTTGCGTCGATGGGTCTTACAATCTGATTTGAAACTCGTGAGGAATGGGACGGTGGAGTGGCGAAGCTCCTGTATTCTTGGTCTTACTCGCCGTATTCTGTCAATAGGTGGAACGTAAACAAATAGAGGCCAAAATAAAGGCTTGAGAAGATGGCTGATACTCTCCAGTGACTAATATTTCGCGAGCAATACCCGAAAGGCATGTTTTGGAGGACATTTTTTGCCTCCGGAGGGCTCTTTTTTTTCTCCCAGGACGGTACATAAGTTTTTGACCTCATATCTTTTGAATGCATGGTGCCACTATCAGTATAATTTTGCAGCAATTTGTTTATGTTTTACTGAATAGAAATAAAATCTAGTTTGGTTCTTCTTTAAAGTAACGCATATCAAAGTTACATGCTCTTTCATTTTTTTGAAATTTCTCGCTAGGTGATTGGAGTACCGGACGAAAGGCTGGGAAATAAGATATGCGTCTGGATCAAACTGCAGCCATATAAAACCTTGTCTCACGAAGACATCAAGACCTTCTGTAAAGGAAAGGTATGCAATCAAATTAAGGCGTACGAAGACTAGTTTAATATAAGGAGACGTTAATGAGTTTCTTGTAAAGAAATTTTTCAATGTCAACATAAACCCCAAAGCCTCAAGGCTATCCGCTTTTGATAAAGTTGATATACGGGTTTTGGTATGCAGTTTTATGCTGAACATAGAATATGTTCACAAAAATATGTAATTCTGCCAGTTTCATAATAGCGTTTCAAACATCATTTATTAAAGTCTTTAGTTAGTAAACCAATATGGTGAGGTCCAATAATACTAAATTCATGGCCACAAGAAAACTGTTATAGTTGACAGACATTTTACATAATTATGAAACTTATATACGCGGTTATTGGTTTTATTGGATACAACATTCTTAAGGGAGTGCTGGTACACGAACATCGTTTTTGGTATAGGGTTATTGAACTCGGCGGTCATTGCATTCCATCTTCGGCTTATAAGCTGGAAAACATCCGAGTTCTAGAGCGTGGGTGGGCTGGCTTTAAGCGGTTTCCATATGCGAAATCTCGTGAATGTGAAGCATTACGAATGCTTCAACCAACACATGAATAAAACTCGTGAAAGAATAATGGAGGAAATAACCATCGCGATGAGTTGGGCAATTAACTATAAATTGTAATGTGTAATATTTTATGGAACGTGTAAAAATATGTAATATGTAATATTGTGTGATATTTTGCAATTTATATTTTCCCAAATCGATGCCATCGCAACTTTGAATGCCGTCCTTATTTTAAGTCAGCCAACACTTATGTGAAAAAAAATCCCCTTAGATTGAAATAATCTGGGTATTGTTTTCGGATGTCTGTCACCCTGTCTAGAAACAGCGTGCAGAAAGATCTTCGCCAGAAATAAATTGTGATGTGTGTATGTTCTAGCAAGTGCGTCTGAATTAATTAATCTCTAATGGGTGCCTGGTGTCTTTGCCGTAGAGAAGTGTAGCCAGAGCAGTACCACTGATAACCTGTGGTCTTTAACGTGCATTACGGAATTCTGAAACACAGCCGCACAAAGGTGCGACGCCCACGCAGATAGAAACTAGCAGGGCTGAGAATTGAGCTCATGGTCCCTGGGTTTTTTCAGAGTAAGTGTTCGGTCCACATGCTCCCAGCTGCAGTGCAACGACACACTCAGACACCTCTCCCCCTCGAAGCCTGCTGAACCCTATATTTCGCGGCTTCTTTTAGTCGCCGAGGTCGAGGAATGTGAAGCCCGCAAACGTTTCTGCAACGTCTATTTGCCGATGATTGTGCATCAGACAACGCGGTGTCTGGTGAAACGGATTTCACACAGCTTATGAGAGATGTTAAACGAATTGAATCATGGTGTAGTAACAATAAGATGTCATTGAACGCTAGCAAGTGTGTTCATGTGCGCTTCACTAGAAAACATAATAAATTGACTCATCAGTACTATATTAACAATAAAAATATTAGAATTGAACCACCGTAAAAATATTTAGCTGTTATATTTTCTGAAGACGGAACATGGACAGCTCAAGTGAACAGTGTCGTTTCCAGGGATGGCAGGGCTTTAAGTGTTTCACAGCGCACCCTTAAACATGTAAGCAAAGAGCTTATGGAAGCAGCGTATAAAGTGTATGTTAGACAGATATTAGAGTATGCCTGTCTTGTGTGGGATCCGTTTTACCAGGTTCGGATCAGTGCTATAGAACGTATTCAATCTGTTGCTGCTCGGTTAGTCCTGTGAATATAAGATCGTTTCTGTAGCACAACTGATATGAAAAAGGAACTCGGATGGGTGAATTTAAATGAACGTCGTAAAAGGCAGCGTCTCAAATTGTTTTACTCGATTTATCACAACCAAACAAGATTTGTGCTGCAAAGTTTCTGCATTCACCATCTTACCGTTCTGCTCGTACAGACCATTGCTATAAGGTTCAGCCGTATTTCTCCAGGACAAACATTATGAAACACTCTTTTTTTTGCACAAACCATCGCAGAATGGAATTCATTACCGTCGGAAGTGGTGTGCCGCGAGACTGTGGATCTTTTTTTTAATGCATTGTGCCCCCCTGCAATAATGCTGTATAGGCGCTGCGGGGTTTTTTTTATTAATAAAGAATAAAAAGCTGGGAGACGGCCGAAATAGAGTCGCTGTAAAAGGTGCAGCGCGCATCCGCGGCACTGAAATGAATGCCGAGAACGGTAAGTATTGAACCGATTGTAGCACACGAATGACGAGCGGCCGAGGGCTGGTGAACAGCTGCGCTTCCATCTGTGTGAAGGCGTCTCAAAAAAGGAGACTTCAACAGGTGTAAAGCGACACGTGCGCCAATCCGCCTGCGTCTGTTTTTTGCAGCTTGTTGTTTTTCTTGGGAGAAAGCTCTTTCCAAAAGAGTTTCACTAAATGCTGATAAAAACTTGTGAATAAATTCCAGAGATGTACCAAAAGAAAATGTATTCACTTTTCTGTCCAGGAACTATAGGTTTTTGGGCATTTTTTGTAGAATTTCTATAAAACTTAGTGTATGGAGATTACATCAAATTTTTTTAGAAAACAGATATATTAACAACGTGTCTATCTCCATGATAAAGGTTATAGATCAATTTTTCGCAAAAAAAGCTATATTATGAAGATTATGTTTAGGTTTGTCACAATACAACCACGGAAACTTGCACTACTCACCCCTTGCCCTGTGCACATATGCAGGCATCACAAGTACACACATCACTGAGCACTCAACACACTAGCTAATCAGTTCTGTTGGCAGCTACACCTCTATGTACACCCTCCACTTGAAAAGCAATCATTTGAAAAAGGACCTTCAAAGAAGATTGAAAAATTGCGCGAATGTTGATTTTTATGCCAAAAAATTTGTATGAAATCTGATATATAAGGTTGGTGATCTGCATCTCCAACTATAACGCCTTGTAAAAGGCAATATTTATTCGACGCAGTCGAAATAATCAGCAACCTCAACGAGGCTCCAACCGGTCGTGATTTCGCGTCCCCGAACCGCATCTAATTATTTTCTTAAATCTTGTCAATAGAAATTACAGAGAAATATGCTGACAGGAAATCTAATCAAACTTTGCGATAGAAATCCTGTCGCATTTCTGTCATCCGTACTTTACAAACATGGGTTGAAAGAAAGTCTATGGAAATTCTATTGAAAATTGTCATAGGACGTTAGTGGATAGGGATGAATAGGAATCGTTCAGGAGTCTCAGAACAGAGCTAGGAAAATGTATTTCATACCACGCTAAAATGTGAGCCTGATTTCATATATATATATATATATATATATATATATATATATATATATATATATATATATATATATATATATATATATATATATATATATATATATATATATATATTTATATATTGTAAAGGCCTACTGGCTATAAGCGAAGGACTCCCTGTGTTGTTCATGCCGGAGCTTCCCGAAAACAGAAAGAAGGATGCGAGAGCAAGTATGCCAAGCCTCTTCGCGGGAGCCAATCCCCGAAAGGCCAGACATAATTGGCCTTCCCACCTTTGCGACGGCGCCCGCGGCAGAGCAGATGGGCGGTCACATAATTGGCAGGTAACGTGTGAACTCAATCCTGACAAGCGCTGACGTCACAGAAGCCGAGGGCGCGAGGTTGATGTCCGAACAGAAGACGGAGGGACGGACAGTAACTTTCACTTAATATGCGGGTGAAGTGTCCCTTCACGCTTCTTGAATTGTACTGTTTGGACAGGCCTTGTTCTTTTTAGTGTCACGTGGTAGATGAGACGTTTTCAAGAGGGAGCACGCGCACAGAACCTTGGGCGCGGTGTTTGGGGATTTTCGCGAAGTGCGGTAAGCGCTTGAGTACAGCGAAAACACTATTTCCAATTCTAAAAAGAACTAACAAGAAAAAAAAGGAGTGGCCGAGGAAGTGAAGCAATTAATATTTCAAGGCATTCCTTGTTTATTGTGTACGCAATCACAACAAACTTCATAATTACAGATCCACGATTACAAGATACCGGAATATGTGCTGTTCGTGGACTCTTTCCCGAGGACACTGACCGGAAAAGTACAGAAGCACAAAATGCGGGAGGAAAGCGTGCGACTGCTGAACTTGTCAAGATGATCAGCGTCAGACAAAAAAACACGCGGAAAAAATAAAGTATACATTCCACACGACATCAACGCGACTGTGGCACATTATTCCCTGAGGTGGAATCTGTGTTCCACAGGAAGGAATATCATTGACCACGAACTTGATTGATTAAACATTTAAAAATCACATGAAAACATCCCAAGAGTTCAAGCACGCTTAAAGGCCGACGTAAACTTCGAGCTTTCCACTCTTCTTCACTACATCATTTTGTATATGCTTTCCATATTCGAACCAGTTTCAACTTGCCTCAACACTGCATTTCTCGAACTTTAGAAAAGGAGGGCACTAAGGTTATTTTTCATACAGAAAAGCGAAGTTGTGCGTCGGTCTTTAAGAAAAACAATTTTGACATCGGGTAATTTGTAATTTTTACTTTAGTCTCATTAATTTCTATATCAACCCGGGTCTAGTTACGAATATGGTGGCACCTGTGAAACGCCCTTTTGAGGTATGAACTATCAGCTCCGGAACGTCGTTTATGTTATGGGATAGTATTCTTAAGCTACCGCACCCCCCCCCCCCCCTCCCCTCCGGATTTGTTTGTCTATCTGGCTTCCTAGCACGCAGTAGGTATGCTAAGTAGACCATTTCAGCTCACATTCTTGCTTCTTCATATTCGTAACCCCTTCGAAGGACCTGACAACCTTGACATCGTCCTAGAGGTCGTCCTGGAAGTCGTCCTAGAGGTCGTTCTTCTCGTCGTCCTATATACGACATCCTTTATAGAACGTATTTGAGTTCTTACTATGGGACGTCGTCCTTAAGGCCATCTTAGAAGTCGTCCTTACGATCGCCCTTGTGATAGTTCCAGACGTCGTACTTGACGTTGTTTTAGACGTCGTGCTTCAGGTTGCCCTAGAAATCGTCCTTGAGATCACCCACATGTCGTCCAAGAGGTCTTCCTAGACGTCGTCTTAGATGGCATCCTTGAGATTCTCCTAGATAAATGCTGACACAATTCATGAACGAACCACCTAGGGCGTATTTCTGACGTATTTACGGGCAGTTTTAGCGGACGCTGGACCGACGTATAACGGGCGTCGGGACGATCGCTTCCTCAACACCTCAAAGTCGGCGTAAATACACGGGTATTTGGCGACTCGGCCAAGACGGACCTGGGCGCTCCGGCGTATTTCGGCGTGGCGAATATGGAAGCTTATAGCGCGGTTCCGGCCATTCAGCTCGCGAGTTGACTGCCGAAACTTACTCGAGCATTGGCTTGCCTAGCTTTGCGGCCTCCTAAGTGGCTTGATTCAGCCGCCGAAATGTGCGCTCGATTGTCGTGTTCGCCTTTTTGATGGCGAACTGCAGGGCCGCCGTTAGGCATGGGCGAGCGGGGCGGGCGAGCGGAACGGGCGCTCCGGGCCCCGCGCTTACGACAGGGCCCCGCAAGTGACAGAAAGGCCCCGCGGTCACTCGCCGGTTGAACTTTTTGTAAAATTTCAACATCGCCACTACAGATAACTTTCATTGCTGAATTTTCCAAAGGAAAAAAAAATAGTTAGCTGACCGACGGGCGCAGGGCCCTTCGCCAATTTGCGGATTGCTCCACCCGGACAGAAAAATTCCTGTGTTGCAAAACTAACCTCTCCTCGGAAACGACGCAGCTGGACCTAGTTACGAAGCACGTGGAAGCACGGGTTTATATGCGCAGCCAAAATATCTAAATGAACCTTGCTGAAGGCTCTAGTGTCAAAAATGGTTTCTCGAAAAGTTTACAAAACAAAGAGCCATTGATCTATAATCATAAGGACGAACTTGGGAAGAGAGGGCTGCAGACCTGACGATGTTGAGGGCCCCACTGCTATTACTGCGCCAGCTTCGAAAGCCGGGGTCACACATTACGCATCTTACGAATACAGTTTGCAGACAAATGTTAATTCGAGGCACGGCAAGATCCCTGCTTTGTATGTCGAACGGCAACGAATGAAAGGAGCAGACTGGCACGCGGCCTATGAAACAGGGATGCGTCAGTGAGTCGCGTTCGATCGATGTCTGCAGACTGTTTTTTTTTTCTTGTCCTTTGTATAAGCAGTTTGAAACCGGCCTAACTTGGGCATGATATGATAGCTTACTAAAGTAAGTTATGAGTGTCTGGAGCTGAACTGTTTGGTTAAAAATGACTGTGAAAGTTTCCAGCTGAACGTAGAATAAACGTAGCAAGGGAGAAGAAAGAAACAGACACAGGCTTTTCAGATTCAGTTAGAAAAGTATTCGCAATTGTTATGCTTCAACAAGTAATTCTCATATTTGGGAATGTATTAATTACCAGCATTATAACAGGTAAATTAAGATTACATGAACTGCTTTTAAATAACAACGTAAAATCATGTGTAAATTTAGTGCTATACTTCTAGCTCCCTCAAGAATCAGAGACTGGAAGGAAATCGCCAAGTTCTTTGAAATAGAATAGAAGTTTCCTCAATGTGTGGGGGCCGTTGACGGAAAACATGTACATATCGAGGCCCCTGCTGATTCTGGAAGCCCGTTCTATAAATACAAAGTGCTGTATATCGGTCTAAAAATTTACTTTAACGTATATTATGTTTCACAAGCGCGCCTGAAGTGACGTAACACTCGGCTTTTCAGGATAACCTGCTCTATAGTGCACAAGGGCGTCGTGGACATCAAGTTGAGGTTTGGGGACCATAGCCGCTGGAGCGTATGGCCTCCAAAGTGATAATGGCGTCTTCAAGGCATCTATGATAGGACAGTGCCTCAGTCAAGGTGCCTTCAATTTGCCGCCACCAAATTTGCTGCCATCTTTTCATGTTATCGCCGCGTACGTCTTCGTTGGAGTCGAGGCATTTCAACTGAGGCCGAAATTTCTGAGGGCCTATCCTGGCAGATACCTTTGCGGTGATCTAAGAATATTCAACTATCGATTGTATATAGGGCGAGGTAACCTTTAGAATTGTTGCACTTGCATTAGAATAACAAAAAAAAAAAACAGTGTTGTCTTTGCCCCATTTCCATGAGGTGCGTCGAGAACGCGTTAGAAAGTTTGGCTGCTAGATTTCGCATCTTCCGCAGGCCAATCGAACTCCTCCCAGACCACGCCACTGGAGTCGTCCTCGCAGCTTGTGAACTGCACAGCTAGCTACAAGGCGACAAGTTGCACATGCCAGATGCCTACGCTGATTGAAGTTGATCACTTCGGCAACACCGTTGATGTCCAGTGGCGCAAGGAGGTCTCTCAACAGACAAACGCGTCGCTCAAACTGCCGAGGTTGAGATGGCGGCACGTCGATCAATCTTCCTGAGAACGCAACACAATGACCACCGCAGTGAGAGAGCTGTACTGCAGGGAATTTGTAAAGGAAGATGCACTGTCATGGCAAAGGGAGCGCGTTGGCCTGATATCCTAAGTAATGTCAGTGGTGTGGTGACAAATCACCAAGTTTTCAAGTTTTTATGTGGGAGAATCGTCTGACAATCACGCATATTTTGTGAAGACCTTCCAGAGGCGTGGGATATTCAAACGATGTTTTAACGCACACCGGTGGACCTAAACTCGTCAAACAGAAAGTTGAACCAGAAAGTTCGTGAAGCCCGCTGATTGGATGCCGGCGAAAAATGCGCTAAGTCATCGCCGTGATAGGCAAATCGGTGCTCTCCATGAGCTTCGGCCCAAACTTATAAGTTAAATATACCTATAGAAGGCGACAGTGTCTCATATGGGTAGCCATATTTGGGCAGGTCATGAATAGAGCAGGTCGTGCTGTAAACCCTCTAGACGGCGTGGTTAGTGCCGCATTTCTCGAGATGGCCTAAAAGAGATGTATTAGCCCCTTCAAATATTACGCCCTGTTACGCTCAAACTCAAAATACTGCTAGGTAGCGTGCCCAAAATACTACATAAAAATGGTACCTATTCATTTTATAGAGCCTGTTGGGAATCAATACTATATCAATTATAGACGTGTCATCTTGTTGGTGTTTCTGTGCGTACTCCAGCTTCCGGCATTCTCAGATTGACCGTAACGGTAAGAAATTTTTCAAACGGTCTATTCAAAGTTACTCAAACGCTCAGTTGGGATACTCGCCCCTGAAGGGGAACGACGACGAAGCGATCTGGTGGAAAGACGCTGATTGTTCTACTCCGGCTAATTCAGGCAAATATAAAAGATTACAAGCTCAAGCGGACGGGCGCTTTGCCGAGCGGCGGGCGCGTGCCTGCGCCTTAGGCACGGGGTTGGCTAGCTTGAAAGCCTGTATATACTGTACATAGCGCGTTTTCGGGTTTTGGTTTTGTTCTGGGCATGACACCACTGTTGTAAATAAAAGTTTCTAAACACAAGACAACCACCTGGATCAACACTCGACGGCTCTACGATGCCTGTGACTGGCCCGGGTCCAGATGCGGCTGAATGTGAAATGAACGACAACCAGGGGGGCTATGTTGCACGTTTTGGACTCCCAGGAGAACAGGGAGAAAGAAGTGACGCAGGTGTGAATGAGCGTACCTTTGCAGCACCACGCAACGCGTCATCAGCGACTCCACCAATCAACATCCTAAGAGCGTTGTTGACGTAACTTCCTTCTTCTTAGTTTCCTGGGAGTCCAAAACGTGCAACATAGCGCCCCAGATGGAAGATCTGACGGCCTCATAGACGCCGCTTCATCCTGCGCAGAACTTTCTGGTAAGGTTGACGACTTACCGGAAGCCTTCCTATTTCCAAAGCGCCGCAAGAGGCCAAATTCCGCCATCAGCTCCGTATCATCTGGTGCGACCGTAATCACAACAGCACCGCTTCAGCCTACTCTCACCGTGATTCTGAAGCCCACAGATCCCGACAAGTCACTTGCGAAAATCAATATCCCAAAGATCTCTGAAAAACTCGAAATGACCGCACAAGATGGCGTCATTCTTGCTGGGCCAAATCGAAGACTGAACCTTCTCGCAATTGATTGCAGAAACACAGAATCAACGAAAGCTCTACTTAAACTTGAAAGCGTCGGAGGAATACCTGTGCAAGCCTACGCACCGCACTCACGTGAAGCAGCCAAGGGAGTCATCTACGGAGTG